TGGTGGGTGGATGTGTCTCTTCCGAAACCGAACTCGATGTCTCCATGGAGGTTCCCGACGTTGGTGTGTCCGCCTCTGTGCCCGAAATCGATGTATCAGGTGGTGAGTTGGGACTGACTGGGAAGGTTTCTGCACCCGGTGGGATGTCAGTGTTCCGTCGAAGAAGAAGAAGAAGTTCACCTTCGGTTGGGGCTCGAAAGACAAGAAGGCGAAGAAGGTGAAGTTGCCCACAGTGTCGGGAGACGTGGATGCTAGTTTGGATGTGGGTGGAAAGGTTGATGTTCCCAGTGTGAAGGTTGATGTGGACTCAGGTGATCGAGTCAAAGGTAAGAAGTTCACTGGTCTCCGAATATCTCATTGCCAAAGTTGAAAGTGCATGGACCAGATTTGTCTGGAAAACTTCATGCAGATGCACCTGATGTGGATGTGAATGTGACTGGTCCATCTGTGGAGATGCCATCTCTGAAAGCCAGTGGTCATTTGCCTACTGTCGATGTGTCCGTTCCCGATGCATCGTTGGGAGGTGATCTATCCGGTAAGCTCGATTTGGAGGGTGTCGGTGTGGGAGTTGTGGACGCCGATTTGAATCTGCCAGACCTACAGATCTCAGGAAATGTGAGTGCACCGTCTGTCGAGGGAGACCTATCCATGCCAGATGTTTCCGCCAATCTGGACACAGATGTGAAACTGCCCAGTGTGCAACTGACTGGTCCAGATCTCCGTGTACATGGTGAGATGCCGGATGTGGATGTGGGTGCTAAGGTGGATGTGCCGAAACCACATATTTCAATCAAGACACCGAAATTCGGGTTCGATCTGGGCAAGAAGAAGACGAAAGTGAAGACTCCAAAGGCTGATGTGAAAGTGGAGGGTGGAGCAGGTGGGGATATAGATTTGGATGCCGGTTTCGACGCTCACTTAGATGGTAAAGCAAGAAAGGGAGGTAAGAAGTTCCATTGGTCTCCTAAGTTCGGGTTGCCGAATGGTGGTCTGAAGATTGGTGGAGGTGCTGGTGTTGGAGTGCCGGACACCTCGGTGTCTGTCTCAGGTACGACTGGTGGTGGGATGTGTCTCTTCCGAAACCCGAACTCGATGTCTCCATGGAGGTTCCCGACGTTGGTGTGTCCGCCTCTGTGCCCGAAATCGATGTATCAGGTGGTGAGTTGGGACTGACTGGGAAGGTTTCTGCACCCGGTGTGGATGTCAGTGTTCCGTCGAAGAAGAAGAAGAAGTTCACCTTCGGTTGGGGCTCGAAAGACAAGAAGGCGAAGAAGGTGAAGTTGCCCACAGTGTCGGGAGACGTGGGTGCTAGTTTGGATGTGGGTGGAAAGGTTGATGTTCCCAGTGTGAAGGTTGATGTGGACTCAGGTGATCGAGTCAAAGGTAAGAAGTTCCACTGGTCTCCGAATATCTCATTGCCAAAGTTGAAAGTGCATGGACCAGATTTGTCTGGAAAACTTCATGCAGATGCACCTTTTCTAATTCATTTAGACTCTGTACCTAATGTTTCTTCTTCTACGGTTTCGTCTTCTGTTCCTTGTGTTGATGTTTCCCCTAGTTACGTTCTTTCTGATTCTTGCTTATCTCCCGAATTCGTGCAATCGTACGTGCGTGATTCTGTTTTGGTTGTTTCTGATTCTGGCATTATTTCCCCTGTGGTTAGTTTAGTCCTGTGTCGTTTCTTCGCCTTCACCTTCTGATCCATTCGAATCTGTTGATTTCCTTCCCGTCGTTGAGGAACCTGTTATTTCACCATTTTCCTCACCTGAATTTTGTGAATCCAGTACTCTTCCTTCTCGAATTTCTCCTCGAAATGCTTTTCAAGATATAGATGAGAGCTTTTCATCTCCTGTTGATTCTGGTTTTAATGGTGACATTTCTAATGATGAGGCTGAAATTGATGAAATTTTTATTTTCCCATTCAAACCGATCGTGTCCTACCGAAAGAGCAATATTTTACAGAATCACAGACATTGTAGGTGCTGAAGCTGAAGAAGAATCGTATTCTCCTACTCAGAATTTGAATGCATCAAATGGGATAAAATCTGATGAAATTAAATTACACAGTCCATTTCATATTTTGAAATCAAAAAAACATGATAAAGATTCTGCTCATCGAGTAAAAGTCATCGATGCCAACGACCAAATCTCAACAAATACTGAAAAACTTAATGTTAATAATACTCTTTATAGCATCCCTGATGGTTCAGGACGTATTACAGTTGACAGCAAGTCTAAGAAAAAGGTGAAATCTCATCATAAGAAACCACACATATTCGGTGGTCAAATATCGACTGATGAAATTATTTCAGATACTCCCATGAAACTGGATCATCATGAAGACTACCACGACCTAATAGGAGTATCTGTTTCTGGTCATAATGCTGATCTTGCTTTAACTCCTCGGCGTTCTCCCAGTAAACTCAGAGATCCCTCTATTCGGAAAACGTGGCATGGTGCAAGAGAACCCTATTCTGACTTTGTAGGAAGTCTCAATTCAGACCAAGATGAATACACTTTAACCGAAGATGTTTCGGTTAGTTATCTACAACCAAGGTCAACCACAAAATCTTCAAATAACAATTCATTAAACGCTTCTGACTTTCTTCGACGTAGTATAGTAAATTCAACAAAACGCCGCCCTTGGAGCACTTTAGAATATCCACCACCTGGGTGTCATTTTGTAGACGATGATTACATGTTTCCAGATGCTTTAACACCGACTAAAATTCCAAGTTTTCGAGCAAGCAAGGAAATAGTTTATGATGTTCCATATATCGACGATAAAGCCATTCCACGTTATGAACCTGAATGGCCTATAGGTGAATCAAGAAGAACTTTGATATCTCAACTCTCGCAGAATAGTGGCAGTATTGTTCGAATGACAGCTGAGGAAGAAAGCAGTCTTATATCACTTGGTAAGTTAAAGATTGAAATTATGTTGTTCTTTTTTAATTTTAATGCTTTGATAAAGATTTTCATTTGATGATAATGAAATTATTTTAACCGGCTTACATAAGATTACGTTCTACTTCTTGAACTATATAAGGATTAAAACTCTTAGGATTTTAGAAAAGGTAATTTCAATAAATAGATAAATTAAAAGGTGTTCAAGCGGAATATTGCTTAGAAACAGTAGTCAATCTCCCTTACAGATCTTTTCTCAGCTGTAGTCTCTTCAACTTTAAGTCTCATACCAAATTATGAAGAAATGAAGAAAATAGGATTAGCTATTATTATTATTATTATATTATTATTATTATTATTATTATTATTATTATATAATAGTATCACAATTGTGTCAGTTACGGATAGATTTTACAGTGAGTTGAAGATGTTTAGAGAACTGATGGGATTTAGAAAGCACAAGATAGGTGTCTCCTTTTAATTTATCTTAGTAGTATACATCTCCAAACTTATGAGGGATCAAGTCCAACGTCGCTAGTTACCATAGCATACATGATACTTAGTTAGAAGTCGATGAATTCTGTTGACTATTTCAATTATTTAATGATATAGACTGATCTTAATCAGATATGATGAAATGATCGCCAAATTATACAGATTTTTCATAAAATCACTTAATTTACGCATCAATACTAGTAGATCTCAGTTATACCAATTCATAAATCAATTGAAGTTGACAATGTTGTTAACTGGTTCCTAATTTAAAAGTTCAAATAAATTGTGCTAGTCATAGTGCTGGAAGATCTTACTTCAATTAAAAGAATGTCACAATATATAGATTTTTAAATTTGTATAAGTTTACATAGATAAATGAGTTATTTCCATCACATCATTCAGTATGTTCCAAGATGATTTACTATTTACTAAAGTAATAATTCCTTTACAATAGGTAAAGCGCTGTGATTTTATTCAACTAATTACTTAGATGGTTATTGGTTCTGTTTGAATGTTGTTTCATAATCATATAATTTGATAATATTTTACTAACGTTGAATTTTTTTTACTCCAATAATAATGAGTTCACTGGTTGAAATCATGAGTCAGTTGAAGCTAGACCACCATGGAAAACCTGGAAACACTGGACGGCCGTTTCGTCCCAGTGTGGAACTCCTCAGCAGTGCGCATCCACGACCCAGGACCTACCACTCCCGCGCCAGGCGCTTAACCATCTAGACCACTGAGCCAGCATCCAATGGTGTTAATGTCTAACTTCAACCAATCCACGAAGTTGCGCCACCGTGCATCATTGTCTTCAGTGAGTTAGTATCTCACAACAGACCTGGTTGAACTCCACTGGTAACGACTCACCGGGTCGTGGATGCGCACTGCTGAGGAGTCCCACACTAGGACGAAACGGCCGTCCAGTGCTTCCAGGTTTTCCATGGTGGTCTAGCTTCAATCGACTCAGGATTTCAACCAGTGAAATTTCTAAAATCTCCACAAAACCCATTCTGATAATAATGAATTTATTTGAATTATCCTATTATTGATAGATGATATTGTGGTGTAGGAAAATTTTTGAAGACTAGTTTTTCCTAGTTGACTACAACATGTGTATACAATGCAAGCAATTCATTATTTTGGTGAATACTTCATACCTAATAACTGTTAGTCATCATGACGATATTGAAATGTTTCTAGCTATTATTATTATTGAGAAATGACTAAGTAAATGATTCTTTTAAATTAGTCTAGCGGTCACTTGAAATCTTTCATTTGAAAATAATAACAACATATTTTACTAGTAAGTATCTAGTCTATGTGACTAATGCATTATTGAAAGAAACCAGTCATCATTTCTAATGAATTAATAACCACATTTTTAACTGAAACTATATCAGAAGGGGTTTTGTGGAGATTTTAGTAGTTTCAATTGTTGAGATCATGAGTCAGTTGAAGCTAGTTGAAGTTAGACATTAACACCGTTGGATGCCGTATCAATGGTCTAGTGGTTAAGTGCTCGCTCGAGAGACGAGCATGTCCTGGGTTCGAATCCTGTGAGGCGGGGTCGTGGATGCGCGCTGATGAGGACTTCCACAATGGGACGGAACGGTCGTCCAGTGCTTCCAGGTTTCCCATGGTGGTCTAGCTTCAATTGACTCATGATCTCAACAATCGGAATTACTAAAACATTATATATTTTCAGGTCGAACATTTATTACTTTATTAAATTTCAAGAATCGACATATACCTATACTTTACTGAATAATGTTTACAAGTTGGAAACATAAGCCCATTGTTGCTTAATAATAGAAGAATTTTATTGGGAATTTTAATGAAAGCACAAAATTGATCAATATCTGTGAACATAATAGACGATACTCTGAAATATCTAATAATCTGTACTAACTTTTAGTTTCAGTATGATCGTTAAAGCTTAAATGAACTCGGATAAACTTAACAAGTGCTATGTTGGACAAAATTTTATCATGGATTTTAGTACTAGCCATTATGTAAAGTATAGTTACAGTAGTCTCTGTCAATTCAACTAGTCTACTAATTTCAATCGTAGACTATTGAATCTATATTCTTATATACTTGATAAGCACACAGTAAAATTATTCGGTAATTCAATCTTTTGAAAAAATAAGAGAAAAGAAACTGTGAGTACATTTTGAGCTAGAGTATTTAAAGCTTTAATTTAGTTTGTAATGGTTTGCATTATTTCGTTTTTTGATATTTTTAGATGAAATTTTTATCGATTGTAGTTGGGGTGTGTACATGTTATGTGTTTTACCTCTATATAACCATTATTTGACAAGTTCTTATAGAATGCATAGAATATTACTAATAGTAGAATCCAGGATGTGTATTTTGTGCTAATTAGGTTTCACTAGTTCAATTTACTTGTATCTCAGTGTTAATGTTCATTTCAAGATTCAAACCCAATACCTTTTTGCTTCGAATGTCCAATCACGTTATCCAGTTAGGTGCTGAGTTTAAATAGTCGCTAACCTATACAACTACAGAATAATTCAAATTATTACAAATTTAATTTAATTTCATACCTGTTTCACAAACTAGTAATTATCCCAGAGTGAACTTTAACACTAGGATACAAGTAAGTTCAACTGGTGAAACCCGAATAACACAAAACACAAATCCTTTATTCCACTGTTAACTATATCTCATTTGTTCTATATGGAACTTTCTTGAGTGACAGGGGATCTAGTGTGACTAATCAGTGACTTATCATTCTCTTGTAATGGATAAAGAAACTAGAAAAACTGATTCCATGCTTTTTTTTGTATTATGGCACATTGTCATAAGTATGATTAAATTTCAGAGACTTTTCATATTAAATTTCTCATTTATTCTATCAATGTATGATTGGTACAACTGAAAGGTAACGGTGTTTTCTTTTTTAGTTCATATACATAATTTAACATAGCTTATATAATTAAGCTTAGAAAGAATGCATAATATCAGGACACCATAAACCATAAATACTACTATACAATAGTTAGTTAATATTCAGGTTTCTTCTTGTATTTAACAATTCATATAGAACCGGTTAATAGCCTAATTATAAATATAAGTATGTTGCGTTAAAAAAAAAGTGATACTCATACTCATTTCATTATTTCATATAAGTGTTTGATGATAATATCAGTGTTTAATTTAAGATAGTTGGATAGAATCAATAGGATAGATAAAGTGTAGATCGATCTTATGATTTACAATATTTATCAACTGTTCAGATCTAACAATTCAATGATAATGTCTTTGATTTCTGTAATGAATGATATAGGTTGTAACCTGTATGATAGTATCCAGTTTCCATAAAGGCTATACATTTATCTTCATTATATCTTGGTAAGTACAGAATCTAAATTTGATGCATCCTATCTGTTACGTTCAATCCTTCAAAAGAATAAAGCGATCGTTTAGTATTACAACATATTATTGAATGACTATGTCTAACAAAACAGTCGACTATTCGACATTGGTTAAAATTCCATGATATATTCATACAATGTTTATCGCTATTTAAGTGATGAGATTAGTTCTTTCAATAGTATACTCACTAGTGATGATTTTGAACATAAGTAATGATAATTTTTAATTTGAAACGCATGAGTCAAATGTAAAAATCAGAATAAACATACATATTTCAAGGCTTCGATGAATAAACCATTAACGATATATTTGTTTATTATTATTAGAAGCTTTATTCAACATTATATTTTTGGTACAATATAGAATTCTCAGCATAAAGTATTTCAAAAAGTTTCCTTTTCTTATATCTTGATTGATTGTGACGATAAATTTTGAATGATGACTAGTTAGATGTTAGGAATTCGGTAATCCACATTTGATTAATGCTCATTCGTTTCAATGCATATTGCCAGCCACCATGATGTCGCTGATTGTACCTTTTTGTAGCCCGTATAGCGAAAGGTTGTAAACTTTTCATAAACGCGCCTGAATAGATTGTGAGCACAATAGACATAGTGATGTGCTAAAACAAACAAGAAAACAGATAACTTGATGAAATATCTAGATCGGAGGAACAGGTAGCCCAGATATTCAAGCAGGCCGCCACGTCATATATGACATAATAGATTATTTCCAATAAGATATTAATTTAGTAATTAGGTTATAGAATAATGAGAAGAAAAAAACAGGACTCAATTATTTAGAACAGGAAATAAGAGTAGAATAAGGTGAATGCATACATACGAGATTTTAAAAATTTCTTTGATGAAATATATGTTCCTATAAGAAATCAATAAGAAAGGATCCTTTCTTTCTCCTGTTCGATAATGAATCCAATACAAATTATAAGTAAGGTGATTCTCATGTAAATCAGTGAGTTTTCAATGACTGGTATATTAAATAATCTTCAGAAATTTGAATATAATTAGTAAAAGGTTATTCACAATTAATTCAACCGGATCTGTTGTGAGATAGTAACTCACTGAAAATTATAGTGAATATGTCGCCCGATTTCGTGAATTAGTTGAAGTTAAACATTAACACCATTGAATACCGGCTCAGTGGTCTAAAGGTTAACGTTCGCGCGCGAGACCGATAGACCTTGTGTTTGAGTCTCGCGAGGCGGGATCATGGGAACGTACTGCTGAAGAGTCCCACAATAGGACGAAACGGTTTCAGTGTTTCCAGGTTTTCCATGGTAGTTTAGCTTCAATCGATTCATGCTCTCGAATATTGAAATTACATAATTTATGTCAACTATATGATAATAACATTGAAATAATGTCATAATTTAGTTTTGATAGATAAATAAATGAAGGTTATTTTTTCTTTCATTTTTATCACATTCTATTATATAATATTATATATTTATTTATTTAGATACTAAACTCTCCGATCATCAGAATATATCCAAAAGAATAAGTCGATTTACATCACATCTATTGAAAGGTAACAAATCTTCATTGGAACAAGATGATGATGTTTCAAAATCTCGATCGAAAAGTTTAACTCGATTAAAAACATGGTGGTCTAAACGTGGTTCACCGCATAAATGAAACTTGACATTTTATAATAGTAATAATGTTATTAATCCATTTATTTCCAATTCACTTTTGTTCTAAAAAGACAACCAGAAATTGTATTGATCGAAATTTACACACAAAATGTTTTTCCCAATTTTTCAACTTTATGTCTCCTCAACTATTCATCTACTATTAATTTGCTGCATTATTCTATCAGAATAACCATCGATTCAGGTAAGTAATTATTAATTTTCATTTGTGTTATCTCTTATATTTGACTTACTCAGTTGTGAGGTCGATTTTCTGTGTTTCATTTTCGAGCCTTCCTCCCAAATTAGTCGATTTAGACAACTTGGGTAGTATTACTAAACTTTGCAAGTAAATTAGTGTTACATATAGTTGAATAAAATAATGTTTATTTAGTTTCGGTGTTGTGTTAATTACGAACTGTTGTTATAACTTGTGACCTTGTATCCCTATCAATATATATAACGTAATGATACCCCCAATTATAGAACAGTGATTTATCAACCGGACCAATGACGCATAAAACCCGTTTGACAAGTCTAGAGTCCTTATCGGTTCTTCTTCCTGCCTAGCTCTACCTGTTAATTCCAGAACACAAATCTCAGACTGCGCAATATTAATCATGTATTTCAAACATATTGGGTTCATGTGCAAACCAAACAGACCACATCGCATCACCAAAATAGAAAATAACATTTGTACAAGATCTAGCCAAAAGTGACTGTGAATGTGGGAGGCTGTAATTAATAGACTGGGCATAATCCAAGAACGGTAAATCGTATAATAATAGTTTATGAGTCAAAATAAAGCTTATAACAAGAAGAACATGAATATACATAGTTTAGCTACTTAATAATCATACCATAATTATATATGTCGTATTGTTCCATAAATAGTTCTCAAGCATTACCATTCATAATTCTCTTCTACATGTAACAACTATGACTTCATGAAGCATAACAATTGCTTTGTATTGAGATTAGATGGTGGTTTGAGGTAGTCGACATGAAACCCTGAACTTAGGTGTCGTGTTAATTGGCACTCGTCAGCAAGGTGTACCTGTAATCGTGAGGGAACTGTTGCTCCCGATCCGGATCCGATCCCGTGTCACCCAGCTTCACAGTCAGGGACGTTACCACTGAGCTATCCGGGCCGCGACTGACCTCCTGTAGGACTGAGATGTAATCACAATTGATTGATCACTGGGTGGTGATCAATGTCATGTGTGTCAAGTCCTTATTTAGTGCAGATCGAATGCTATCGACCATGTTGCAATGTGGTCACCAGTCTAGGTGACTTGACATTGTGGGCACTATCTATTGAGATTAGATGGTGGTTGGAGGTAGTCGAAAGTAATTCATCACTTCAAAAAAACTTCATTGATCAATTTGTCTACTTATCTTTACAATGTTACATTTAATGACTATATTAATCACTTGAAAAATAAATATTGTGTTATTTTGGATGGATAGAAATAGACAGTTATCTTTCTGCCAAAATTCCTTCTTGTTCTTGGTTTCATTTGATTGGTAGATTGAGAAATAATTGATTTATTATTAAACATTTAACTTGTTCTGATTTTTTTAATAAACTAGTCAATGTATTAATTAGATAAAAATGTAATATATTTCTAATCATTTTATCTGTTGAATGGTTCGTAAGTTTATTGTTCATGTCAGTAATTAGCTACAAGAAAAATTTCAACACAAATGCTGAGAGACAATATCATTGATGACGATTGGTAACAATGGTATCATATCATAGATTGATTGATGCTAGAAATATAAAATCATATGGTATTAACTGAATAGTGTTATCCTTAAATTAAGACTTGAAGTTCCCGAGTTGACATTGATGCTGAATTACAATCTAAGATCAGTTAAATACTCTGTACTTCTTGAAATGGACTGATCTTCAAGGCAAAACTAATTTCTATAAGTCGTTTATAAGTGCTTAGATCTTCCGTTGATGGTGTTAAGGATTAAATATTGGTCATTCTGTTTTGGCATATATATATGCTGAGGAGTCCGACAATAGGACAAAACGACTGTCCAGTGCTTCCAGGTTTTCCATGGTGGTCTAGCTTCAGTTGACTCATGAATTAAACTAATAAAAAGTACTATAATATCCAAAAAAAAGCCTTCTGATATATATATATATATATATATATATATATATATATATATATATATGCTGAGTGGATTGACTTGAGATTGCCGTTAGGTAATTATCCATTTTTAACTAAGTTTGGTACTGGCTAATAGGCGAATCCAGGAGGCGTATTCCGTTCTATTTGAGTCTCATTAGTTGAATGTATCTACATCTTAGTGTATATGTTCACTCAAAATCTTTCACCTATTACTTTTCTATTCAAATACCCAACACTAATGATTTGATGAACTTAATAACTAAGTGGATAAAGTATTCAATATTTAAAAAGAAAATTACTTCATTCATATTCACTAATGAACATGAACTCCTAAATAGAATGTGAAATAAGTTAATTGAATTTCACTATTACTAATTAACATCTATCTCTATTCTACATAACTTTATATTTAATAAATAAATAAAGAAATAAACTAATAAAGAGAAACATTTACACTCAACAATAAATTTACAGTATCATGATCTATCTTTACTTTTAATTCAAAGATCTATTATAAACAGAATCGTTATTATCAGATGGGTTTGGTGGCATTATAGTAATTTCAATGGTTAATATCATGAGACAGTTGAAGCTAAAACATCATGAAAAACCTAGAAGCACTGAACGGTCGTTTCGTTCTATTGTGGGACAACTCGGCAGTGCGCCTTCACGACCTCGCCCCCTGCGAGGTTCGAATCCAGGACCTACTGGATCCCCGCGCGAGCACTTAACCACTAGACCATTGAGCCGGCATCCAACGATGTTAATGTCTAACTTCAACAAATCCACAAAATTGAGCGACACATCCACCAATATCTTCAGTGAATTACTATCTCACAACAGACCTGGTTGAACTCCACTGGTCACTACTTCTCACTAGAACTCCAGAATATACCTCTTGAAGCCAGTCACTAGTGAGCATATTTTGATTAATATCAGATGGGTTTTTAGATGTTATAGTAATTTCAATAGTTGAGATAATGAGTCAGTTGAAGCTAAACCACCATGGACAACCTGGATGCACCGGACGGTCGTTTCATCCTATTGTGGAACTCCTCGTTAATACATTCTTTCTTTTTTTCTTTTTCTTGTATTTATCTTTTTTTTAAAATTACCTCATTCATATTAATTTTGTAACGTAGACACTTTTTTATTGATTAATTCTTGAATACAAATAAATTTTTAAAGAAAAAAATTTTTTTCGGCGTATTAGAGAAATAGTTTTTATAAATTTTTTTATTTTACATAATTAATAAAGTACAAATTAAATAGTGTAAGTATATTTATCACTTTGTGTGTGTATGTGTGCGTGTATGTGTGCGTGTTACCGTACAGACGTATATATATGTATGATAGGGATTTATTAGAGTTAAGTTAAATATCACGAGTACGCATAATTAATATTACCAATGTCTTTTATTGAGTAGACAGATCATGTGAAAATCGATTAATCACTTTAGTTTCTTTTCTTTTTTTTGTTTTTTCTCTAGTATTTTATGTATGAATTATACATGTAAAGTTAATTTAGTTCATTCATAAAATATTATAACGTTTAACTTGGATACAATTTTTTTTCCTTTTTTAGAAATGTCATAGACAATTTGTTATTAAATTCACCCCATTGTACAAACAAATGACTGGCAACACTTAGTATCTAAGTGAATAACGTGATGATGTTTGAAGTGAACGGTATTGATTTCCAGTCTCAAAATGAACATTAACTCTGAGATACAGGTACATTAAAATGATGAGTCCTAAATAGGACGAAACACTTGTCCTGTATTCCACTACTAGGCACTATTCATCTTTGTTAATTTGTTAATAAATTGTTCGACTGCAACAATTCAAATAACTCAGTGAAAGAATACTTTGATTATGATATTTAGCGATCCAGATCTAGATCTTATAGATTGTATCAAATCTCTTAAGAGTACAGATGTATTCTGTTACTGATAAATACAGACTAGCACAAAGTTTAAGTGAATGGTTCCCCTCCTAAGAATATTTCTTATCATCTAACGGTCACATTACAACTCGATCATTGAACTTTAGACAGAATAATGAAGTATACAAGTATGTGATTACTATTTAGTAAACAAATAGTCTATAACGTGGAAGCACTGGACGGCCGTTTCGTCCTAGAATGGGACTCCTCAGCAGTGCGCATCCACGATCCCGCACCACGCGGGGCTCGAACCCACGACCTACTGGCTTCGCGCGCGAGCACTTAACCACTAGACCACTGAGCCGGCATCCAACGATGTTAATGTCTAACTTCAACCAATCCACGAAGTTGCGCCACCGTACACCATTGTCTTCAGTGAGTTACTATCTCACAACAGACCTGGTTGAACTCCACTGGTAACGGCTTCTCACTAGAACTTCGGGAGTTTTCCTGAAGTCAGTCACTAGAGAGCAGTTGATTATTATCAGAATGGGTTTTGTGGAGATTTTACAAATTTCACAGATTGAAATCATGAGTCCAGTGCTTCCAGGTTTTCAATGGTGGTCTAGCTTCAACTGACTCATGATTTCAATCTGTGAAATTTGTAAAATCTCCACAAAACCCATTCTGAAAATAGTCTATAAATTAAGTTTAAATAACTATTCCTTCTACTGGTAGAATAGTTTCGTTGGTTCATGATAAAGAATCTCACCAAATTTTATTGAAATCGATAAATTGTTATTTGTGTATAAATTTCACAGAGATTTAACGTATTACTATTTCGAAATCATCATAACTTCAGATGTTGTTAAAATCTAGATGATTTCAAACGTTTCTTCTATAAAATTAGTTCTAGATTTCTTAAGGAAATAAATAAAAATCTAATTATATTCCTTTGAAGAAATTCAAACA